ACCGGCCACGTAAAGGTCAAATGTGTAGTTAAAGAAAGAAGATGTGTCATTCAGAACAGAACTGACACCAATGTAATAATCTCCACTAACGTTCACGTACTCACTCGGGACTTGGAAGGTAAATGGTCCAGGACTTGTGATATTTCCCGTTTGGTTGACTTCGAAACGCGGTAGTGACGTCATAAGATCATAATTATCCCGTGTGGGGCGGCCAGAGTATTTGAAGTAAACATTCAAAGCCGTCGACCTGTTTTGTGGAATGACATCCACGAAGATACTCGTGTTTACGCGAATATTGAAAATCTTATGTACAGTGATGTTACTCGAGCCCCTCGTGACGTTGACAGCGTTSTCCTGTCGTAGGATAAGAAAACAAATGTGTTAGGCAGGCACATATACCTAATATTTTATTCATCAGTAGTTGATGCAGAACTAATGTTTTATTCACCAAAATTTGATTCCTTTGTATGAGAAATCAACACCTGATGCATTACTGATGTTTTATTCATCCTGATCTGATAGATCATTATTTACTGTTCTATACCTAAATGGAACATTGACTGATGTTTTATTCATCAGTACTATTTTGTAAGGAGGTGCGTTCAAACGCTTCACAGTAACAATAAAGATTTCTTTTATAAATATTTTATCTCAACATCGTATTTTCGTGAATCCTTTTAGATAGGGAAATAACAGTGCCACATCATGAATCACAGATTCTAATTACAAAAAGGTACATGTATGATCCAATCCATAGTATAAAGCTGGAATAACGGCCTTCACGAAAACTGTCACAGGTTCAAAAAAATCCGGATACCTGTTATTTTTTCGCTGATTTTTTATTCATCACTGTCAATAGTCCGTATACACACACTGTTTACCTGTCCAGGAAGCTGTTTATTCTGTAAAAAGATGTCAATGTAAGATGAAAGACCCTCAATCTTGAGCTCCTTTGAGTTATTCCCAGATACAACCAGCGACATCGTTTCAGAWTYAATCATTTTGGATGAATTTGTTCCTCCGAAAGGATTCAAAGGCAAGCTTGATACCTAGTAATATAAAATGTATGTTACTATATGAACATAAATCACAAGGCTTCAATTGTGGTACTAGTTAAAAAAACACACATCTTGCTCCTGGCCCTGAATTCGCCTCTTTCGCAGGCTACTCCAGAGGAAACGGGCTTCCTCTTCTCTTTTTTGGTCTTCCTTTGGTGAGAATCTTGACCGAGAGGAACTGGCAACGGGTGATTAGAAACACAGGAATCCCGCTGAATGGAGAAGGAGCCTGTGAAGGAGGCTAAGGATTTTTCCACTAGGGTTTGAATAATACCATCTTGATTTTACCGTTTCWATCCATATGAAATAAATCTTCAATGGGTTAAAAATCGTGTGATAATTTACTTTTATTCTGAAATTTAAACACCAAAAGCTTCTTTAAGTATTATTCTACCTTTTTAAGAACATATTCACGGATAATGAACGATTTTCGAWTAATTTCATAAGGCAAAACAACATGCGATCGACTTCTTTGGGTGWCTCAATTTGTGAGTATTCCTGATTGGTTGATAGAATGAGTCCAATCCCCTGATGATCAATTTACTGGCCGCCATTTTGAAATTTAGAACCGAGAACAAGCAACAATAGACCTCGTGCACATGCAGCGGTATTATTTCTGTGAGCTGGATTCACGAGGATAAAATTCCGAGTAATATCAAGGTAAAGTGATACAAGAAGACTTGAAACTCACCATCAATCCTAAGTGATCATGTCGTTCATCTAAACCATCTAGCAAAACATCTTTACCAGGAAGATTGAATTCCTGGATACCTGTTGCTTCGAGATCGTCTACCGGAATTTTCTTTACTGTAAGTGTCTGTTTGTTTGCTTCGTATTTGGTGGCATTTTCTCCTGGTACTTTGCCATTCAATGTTGCACTTCCGAGTAAAGCGGTTATTTCTACTAGCTTACTTGACGATGATTTTGCCTGATAATTTGAGATATAAATAAGATATTTTTCACTGAATGGACTAGTAATACTAAAAGAAATGACGAAAACGGGGGACAAAATATATGAGATCCCATTAACCCCTTCGTATAATATTGTAAAAATTA